AAATTAAATAAATATATATATATATACATATATATATATATTTTTTTTTAATGATGTAGAGCTATATTTATAACAAGATTATTTAAAATTAAATTATTAAATTTACTTATTAACAAAAGTATCTATAGATTAATTGCTTAAATGTTTATCATATTTACTTTCGTTAATATTGTATGTGATATTTAACATAAATATTAATTATAGTATTTTTTTAATAGTTATCATTATAATTTTCTTTTTCACCATTAATTACTATTTATCACTAATCATACTTATTATTTTATACTTATAGAATTTTATTTCTTATATTTTCTAGGTTAAGTGATAAATTTTATATCTATCATTAAGAGAAAATTAAGTTTATTAAATGAACAAATATGCTTACATTATGAAATACAAATATGTTTCATAATATTATTTATAATGAGAATTATAACTAACTAAATAGAATATTCATAAATTAATATATTAATTACACACAGATTATATTAATTAATAATATATTTTGAAGACATTTTATTCAATAAGAAATAATCTTTATATAAAACATAGGTAGTACTACACAAAATTAGTGTTAGGCAAAAAAATAAAATAAAAATAAATAAATACACTTACTTTAATTAATTAATTATAAAGATTGAATCGTTTATTGAATATCGAAATCATTCGAGATGTAATAGATTACTAAAAATGCTTCTGTAAAATACCCTTAATATCTTTAATGTATATGTGAATGCTGAATAATTATTTTTCTTCGTTCACCCCTTCCCTCTAAATTTTCTTATACTGAATCCACTGATTTGATTATTCTTTCCAAGTTCCTGATTGACATGTACTTACTCAGTACTTTTAAATTAATTAAGCATTATAAAAATAATATCAAAACTATCTTTCTTTCTGTCTTCTATCTATATTCTATATTTGTAAGTAGTTACTTGTAATTTTTATTATTATCAATAGAATCATCAGTACCAATATGTTTACGAAAGTGATTAATAGGATTAAAATTAAAAGTGCATTTTGTTTTGAAAATTAACAATTATATTATTACTTATTTTAATTTATTTTTTCTCTATTTTAATATTTCTTTTCTATTAAATATTTTTGGGTGAATTAAATAAAAATAACATACCAAATTTGGCTAATAATTATGTAAAACCTTAAATATGGTTTATTTAAATATAAGAAATTAGATTGCTAATTATTCAACATTTTATTGAATCTTATAGAGGAAGAGACATATTTATAATATATTTCTAATGTAATTATCTTAATTACAATTTAATTTACTTAATTATTTAATTTAGTTTTAAAGAGGTATGAAAATTAAAAAAAAATTTTATTATAGTAAAGTGCCAAACTTCTATTAAAATGTAAATATCAAAGTTAAAAAGAAGTAAGACAAAAGCTAAATGATTAAATACGTTAATATATAAAAGAGAAAAATATTTTTATTTTTATCTTTTAATTGTTGTTATAATTGGATTTGTCATCTCGTTCAACTGTTTCATTTTCGGTTGATACTTCGGTCACTTATAAATTTAGATATTTATATATGAGCACGTATCTACAGTAAATTGGTTATATTATAATTGTCATTGTTGTCAATACTGACTTAATATACGAGGACGAATGTCTAGCAATGCATCATGAGAAGGATTATACTATCGAGTGTATGCCTGCACACATATATGCGAAACAAATATTTTTTAAATTGAACGGCCAACGTTGAAGGAAGAGAGTTACTGGACATTTTTAAAGGAGTTTGGTAACGCCTTTGTTTTTCTTTGTATTATATTTGTATTATATATATGTATTATATATTCTTTGTATTATATTCTTTGTATTATATAGTATTATATACTCCATTTGTATTATATTCAGGGCAACTTACTGGTTAGGTCTCTATTTGTTACGATTTTTTTTCCTATTTTCTATTTCCCTATTTACCGATGTCTCAATTCTTCTATTTATATATTTATCTATCTATGGATTTATTTATTTATACATATTTATATCTATTTATCAATTTACGTAATTTTATTTTGATTTATTAATTATTAACAAATTTTGTATATAGATGTATAAAATTAGTACATATAGTATAATATATAAATTTCAATATAAATTTTTGTATATAGAAATACATTCGTGCCTCCGTGTTCATAAAAGTATTTGATATTATTTAATGCAGATATAAGTTGATCTCTCGATTTTTTGTATCCGACGGCTAATTGATGTATAATGCACTCTTTATTAAGGAACTTTCTTCTTACTTTGGTTATTAAAGCAATATATTACTTACTTTTGTTTTCAATGAAATATTTCAAAGTAATTTATGTATATTGTACTAATTTAACAATTTATTTTAAACATTTTTTTATTTCTTTTTTTATTTCAATATTCACTACAATTGATTTCTATATCAAATTATAAATTTTGATATTTATTTACAAAAAAATTAAATTAATCTATTTTTTTAAAAATTGTTTAACCAAACTAAATATTAAAATTTAAATTTTATAATAATTTTCATAATATTTAATGGTATGATGTTTTTATTACAACAATATTTATATGATAAAACATTAAATCTTTTAATACATTTTACAAATTTACTTAATAAAATATTTATTCAGTACAGCATCTGAAAAAATAATCTGAAAAAAAATTTTATCAGTGATTTTAACATTTTTCAATAGCAGGTCTCAATGAACTAAGTGAATAAAGTAAAAAAAAGTTTCATATAGATATATATATTTGGTTCATTAATTATGAAATAATAGAAGCAATTTTATAATAATGCAAATCTTAATTATATGTATAAATTATGGTGCTCACTAAAATTAATAATATAAAATTTATATTAAATATTACACTCATAGTAAAAATTCTATGCATACACGCATAAACATGTATACAATCTATATAAGTATATATATATTTTTGTATTTATTAAAAAATTATGTAACATTAGCTTTATATTAAAAACTAAATTATTTATTTTTATAAGAAATTTTTTTAATTTACATTAAAATTTAATAAAATTAAAATATAGTTACTAAAAATTGATTTGTTTTGAAAGTCAATTATTTAAATTTGCAATTTTCATAGAGTTTAAATATTTGATCTTCAAACTTGTTGATAAATTTATTATTTGTCAATAGAAAAATAACAATTTTATTCAGAGAGTTACAGTAATTTAACGTATAGGTTTAAATATGTAAGTTAAATTATTCAAATGTAATTTACATAATTCAGATTTATATTATAGATATGTTTTTTTAATAGTGCTGATTTATATTTATTAGTTATAGTAAAATTTGTATAATTAGAATTCTTAAACAAAAGATTAATCATGACAATAATATTTAGAAGTGTATTTTTAAAGTTTATTTTGATTGAAGAAATATTTAAAAGTGCATTTGATATTATATTACTATTTATTATAAGATATTTAAAAAATTACATTATTTTCTTATATTTATAATTTGTGTTGCTATAATTAAGGTCAATCAATCCATTTTACATGAGTAAATATTTAATACACCTATATTGTAATAATATATTTTTCTTAATTTATATATGATATATTTAGTTCAGTTATCACTAAGCGACGGTACAAACATATATTTTTTATTTCTTTATTAAAACACAGTAATAAGTTCAAAAGTAAATTTTAATAAATTGCATAGTTTTAATATATTAGTTATAATAATTAGTGCTAATTTATTTAATATATTAGAGAAGTTTATATATTTTTGAAAGATTATCTACTTGGTCAAAATGTAATGCATTATTTAATAACATTCTTTTCTTATGATAGTAATTAATTTCATAGTAGCAATAACTTTTTATTTTGAAAAGTAGAATAAAATAGAATAAAAGGTATATGTAAAAATATAATAACATTTAAAGTGTTTTGAAAAATAAAATAAGGGGGTTTATTTTTAACTTCTAAAATAAGTTATATATGAAGAAACTGTTTGGTCAATTACTATATTATACCTATGTAGTATAATAGAGGATCTTAATAAGGAGAAAATAATATATTTGTTTGTTAATGAAAAATAAATGTCTAAAAAAAGCAGAAGCAAGGAAGTAAGTGTTAAATGAAATTGAATAAAGAAATATATAAGATGGTTGAATAGGAAAGATACGAGTTAATTTAATTTTTCGTATCAAGTATATATATACATATTTATTTATTTATTAAACGAAGAGAAAATAATAATAATGAAAAAATCAGAATACAATAATGACCGTCAAAGTAGAAGAAACGAATTAGCCTTAGTTTGTCCTAACCGGCTAACTATTTGAGAACATAGTGAGAACCAACCGTAGGAGAGGGAAGAAACGCCCAAAGGGGCGTAATGAAGGGAGGGACAGAGAGTGAAAGTGGGTGTATCCAATAAAATTTAAGATATGTTTTAGAGAGGGGGCTGTAACTCGTCTATAGTGAACTGCAGATGTTTCTTACGTATCCGCATGAGGGCTGTAGTGATGCTTCATTATAATGATATATACACATATATTTAAATTCTTTTTTTCAAATGTATTTTTATACTTTAATACAACAGTTTATTTAGTCTTAAAAACTTTGAAGAAAGAAAAGTTAAAGTACTTAACTATGACTTTTATTATTCAAGGAAAATCAATATATGTATAGAATAATTGTTAGTTGAAAAATGAATTTGGAAAATTACGTGAATGTTTTTGCTTTACAAATTATACGTATACATAAAAATTTTCAAGTAATATAAAGAATATAATGTGTTAAGATAGATCTAATTTTTATTAAAATGTAATGAACAATATGTATGTTTTCGTTTTTATTTAGTAAACAATAAGTATTGATGGTGGGGATAGATTTGAAGCAATGGTCAAGTTTATGTAGCTAAGGGGGAAGCCAAACAAGGTTGATTGAGTCCCTTCCAGTAGAACATAACGTTAGTAGTGGGTGGGGAGGCCGTTTGGCTAGCAGGACATGCGACTGAGAAAGATGTAGCTAAAACGAGTAGGAGTTGCTCGAACAGACTAGGCGGAGTCAGTAACTCCAACCTTAATAGAGATACAATCAAGAAAGTCTATGCAGTGCATTTTCAGGATCAGCGTAGGTGGAAAGACGGAAGTCACGGGTTAGTAGGGATCTTCCATCTACATAGTTTAGACATCAGCCAACAACGAATGAATAACCAGTCTGACTCATCACGGCACTTCTTTAATTACTAAAAAATTTTTGAAAAAATGTTAGAAATCTTCGTATGTAAAAATTTTACTCTCTATGAAATACTGAAGCCTGACACACTAAACTTGCTTGTGCACATTATTGTAAGCTCTATATAGTGTGTTAAATGGGTGTGAATATTTTCTAGTTTCAATAGAAAGTGAATAGGACTATTTTTGTTATAGTAGTTAGAACACAAGCATTTTTGTCATGTCAAAAAAATTTTGTGTCATGTCGAAATATAATCGAAATAGGTTCTAGCAACTGTAAAAACTTCGAAATGTTGAAGTAACACAATATTAAAACGAGCGTAGCTTTTGAAAAAATGGACTCATCATATAGTTTTAATAGATTAGAGATAATGAATCATCATCTTCATCATGTACTTCATCATCGCATGCATTCGACGCCCGAAGAGCATGTGGTGTCACATGAACAAGAACCGTCTGCTGTTTCCACATTACGTTTTAGCATTGTCAATATTCTTCGACCTGATTTTGGAAAAGAGGCTATTTTAACCACGCGAAACTTATCAAAGTCAGTGTCTATGAAAGTAACAGCACTTTCTGTACATAATTCATTGACTTTGCCTCGGGACCTGCGTTTCTGCACCAGTCGACTATCGCCACATTCCACGTCGGTTGGTTCTTTCATCAACGCACAGAGATATAATCGTGATGGCTTATCTTCACATTGCGGTTTAACCTCACCTGTGCAGAGGCATGTGTCGAGTCTAAGTAGAAGCGGTAGCCTTGAAAGTTTGGCTAGTAATTTGAGCTCTGTTACCGGTGGCTCCATAAATGGTGCAACTTCGACTTCGTCGATATCAACTACAGGGATTGAATCTGTTAGTAATGATAGCAATGTCAACAATAGTTTGCCTATCCAAAGTTCTTCCAATAGACAAAGTCTTTGGCCCGCTTGGATATATTGTACTAGATACTCTGACAGACCTTCTTCTGGTAATTGTATTTTTCTTCAATAATATTTTGTTCACATTCAAACATTATTTTAGCGTTTTATTAGAAGTAATATTATTAAATCTTAATTATTATATTTAATCTTTATTATTCATTTAATAATTTTGAAATATTAATCGTGTCACATTTAACATTTTAAATATTTAGTAATTAATACAAATGAGTGCAATAAATAAATTTAACAATATTTTGTTTAAATAATATTTTTTTATTTAATAACAATTCAGTATATAAAATCATATTTTATACAGAAATTAATAAAAATTTGCATATCAAAAATTGTTTTACTTTAAGCTTTTTGAAAGTCAATAATTAATATTTTTTAATTCCTTTTAATTCAATCTAATGAATTAAAAAATTAAACATTAAAATGTATTCTAATAAATTATATTTTTACTTATATTTAAATATATTCAATATATGCAGAAATTTTTATTTTTTGTGCAAAAGCATTAAAAAGATTCCAAATTACTTAAAAGGTGGCATTCATGATTTTCTTAAAATATTTGTCGGTTTTTAAACAAATTCTTTAAATATATGATATGTCTGTTAGGCAATAATTTAAAAATTTTATGTAAATATCAAACAAAATCGATGAGTTACAAAATTTGAAGAAATTTTATTAAATTATAAAACAATTTGCGTTTCATTTTCAAATCAGATTTTATAATAGATATGTAATATTTCAATAAACAATTTGTATTGTAGAATTTCTTAGATTTTACTATAAATAAATTAGACGAAGAATTTATAAGCTATGTTTTTTTTTATTTATATGAATTCTAAAAATAGATTAATGATATGTGGTAAATGAAATAATTGTTTATTGTTAGCCATATATTTTATTTTTTATATTAAAAGAGATTTCAACCAACTCTCATCGTTACATAGTATGTATAAGCTGTAAATAAAATACATAAAGCATTATTTCGTAATTAAGTATTTCCTTATAATTTCGCTCAAAAAAACTTTTCGAACACAATCGCAAGTGTACTATTATCATTTTTATTATTTAATCCAAAGTTCAAGAAACTAAGCCATAAATTTTTTTATTTTAATAAATTCTGTAACTATATAAACATAAATGTCTGAAAAGTATTAAACCGCTTAATCTTATGAATTACCTAGAGACAAAGAGTTATTGCTATTAATCAATTATAATATGTACACAACTCTCAGAATCCTCAAATCAGTTATGCAATGCTTTCATTTTTTTGTTTGTCTATATTTAAAATAAGATAAGCGTACTGTTTTCCATGAGCACAGTAAAAAGAATTTCATTATAAATTAAATGAATATATATTTTTTTGGAAAATATACCAGTTTTAGTATGCACACTTTACTAAATAAATAACAAATGAATTTGTAAATAATCGGGTTGTAATAGAATGCGAGATATGTTTAAAAATTTTAGCCATGGAATTTTATATATTTACATTGTACTACTTCATTCATGTATTATATTTGATTATTTACAGGACCACGAACCAGACGAGTAAAACGTTCAAAAAGTGAAAAACCTGAATCAGCGACATCGGAGGAAAAACGACCACGAACTGCCTTTAGCGCAGAACAGCTTAACAAATTAAGGCTAGAATTCAAAGAAAATCGGTATCTGACCGAATTTCGTCGTCAAAAACTATCTAAAGAACTTGGTTTAAATGAACAGCAGATAAAAATTTGGTTTCAAAACAAGAGAGCAAAAATGAAAAAAGCTAGTGGACAAAAAAATCCATTAGCGTTACAATTAATGGCTCAAGGTCTCTATAATCACTCAACAATGCCCGTTGATGAGAGCAACGAAGAGATTACTATTTGTGAAATATAATGGAATTAATTATTTCCCTTTAAATTTAATATTTACATTCTAAAAAGTTGCCTACTTGAAAAAGGATTTCCTTAATTTATCATTGTTAAAAATACACTGAAGATACAATATAATAAGATTACAATTTTTTTGTCAGTCGATTAATTATTTTAATTAGATTTTTAATTTAATGTACATAATAATTATCAATGACAAAATTTTTAAATGAGAATCATACGTCACACAAATTTGATTTCAATTTGTTAGAATATGTTAATATTTTTTTAATACTACTATTATAGAATATTATAATAAAAAGTGCAAAAATTTTATTATTACAGACTGAAATAGAGCAGACTTAATCAATATAAATGGTAAAGTTTAAGATTTGATTCGTGTAATAAAAAGGGAAAAAATAACTATTTATTTTGTATATAAAATGTAAATATATAAATTATGGTACTATGCATTGATACAAAATAATGCTGCTAATTGTACCTTCGTTACAAAAAAAATTATAATTATTATTTTTCAAATTATTATTATTGTTATTATTCTATTTTGAAGAATTTTCTAGCTTATTATAATTTGAATTCACTGAGATGATTATTGTCGTATTTTAAAGTTCAGTTGATAAAATAATAAAAATGAAGATATTTCCTGTACTAAAGGATAAAAATATATAAATAAAATAATTGTACAAAATCATTTTAATGTGTTTTATTTGCATTATATTAGAAATTATATTATGCAATCCATTGTATTATAAATAAATGATCTCATTAAATTCTTATATATTTTTTAGTTATGTGAGATATAAGCAGAAACTTTATTCGAATGCTTAGTAGCGACTATCATAATAAAATATACATTTGCGTAATTACTATACTCACTTATTTATCAGTGATAATTAAAATATCATAAATTCAACAAAAATTAATTTGTCTTCTTCCTACAATCATAACCTAATTCATTATTATTTTATTTTGATAATATTTATTGTATAATATTCAGATACATGATAATATAGTATCTACAGAATTGAAAATCTATATTATTTTCAAAACGATCATTTCATATCAGGACAAAGTTTTTACAAAAACAATTAAATTTTATGATTCTATATAATATTTCATTTAAATCGAAACTCTTAATATTAATATAATTCTATAGTACAGCATAGTTACTGTAGTAATGTGCGTTGAAAAAAATTAGTGAATAACAAATTTTTATAATTTTTATGAAATATAATTTTTACCATATAAACTATTTATTGAATATTAAAACATGAAATATTCATAGAAAAACGATAAAATTTGTTTAGATAAATACACGATAGTAATATCAATATTAAATATATTAGACATTTAAAATTTTGTATTACACTTAAAGATTATGAAAATATTGTATTAAGATTATAGTATTGTACATTTTTTCATATAAAAATATTATAAAGAATGCTTATATAAATGTTGAAAGTACAACTGCTGTTTTAATCAATAATGAAATTGATTATTTAATTTAGATGATAATGATTAAAATTATACATATTTAATTATAAATTATCGATTAGAACTTAATAAATTAAATATTTAATACTAGTTAAACCTTATAGAAGATATATTTTTTAGAATTATATATATATATTATTTTATGTTTGAATGATTTTTAAAGAATATTGAACGATTGTTTTGTGTTAGAAATAACACATTTTCAATATTAAAAAAATAATTAATAAATTAACTATATATTAATTGTACTGTATTTTCAAATATATTATAAATTTTTTTTTTCATTTTAATAATTCATATTTCCAAATTAAATTCTGAAAATTTTATTCTAAAATTTTTCACAGAAGTACAAAGTGAATGTTCAATGAAGTATTATACATTTAAAATATGAAATTAGAAAATATTAATTAATTTTTGAAAAGTAATTTATTTATTTTAATTTAAGTTATAAGTAAGTTTTAAATTGGGAGTATAATTTTTGAGCAAAAACCTCAAAATATTTTATTTTGGCTATATCATATCACAAGATAACTTACGATATATTTAAAACGCTTTTAACGAAACTTATTTAGTATTTGCATATTCATTTTTTGCATAACCTGTATAATTGTGTCTTTAATTATAATAATAATTTGAGGTTACAATTTTCTTTTAAAAATATATTTTATAAACTTATGTATTTTTATCTATAATAAATTAATATATTTTACTTTAAAATTTCTAATAAAATTTCCTAAAAAATAATGATGTTCTTTATATAATACATATTTTCATTAAAATAGTTTGATAAATATATATTATTATTTATAAACACAGCTTCATTTTTATAAAAATTTATATAAATTTTATTAAAATTATTTTACCAGTCATTTATATACTTGTGAAAAGTAAGTAGGATATATTCCTTAAATTATTCATTATATAATTAATTGTTTTGAATTTCAGTATTTTCTGTTCTTAAACATGATTTCTAACAAATCCATAGATAATTTTTAAATGTATAAATATTCATAATATTAAATAAATCTGTCAAAAAAGAAATTAATATATTTATATATATATTCATATTCTTAAATTATATTGTGTATATTTTAAATTATATAAATAATATTAAAATGTTTATAATAATAACTAAACTTGATGGATTTTAATATCTTTTAATCTTAAATTTAAATCTAAAATTCAAATACAGGCTAATATATATTATTCAACTACCACTAATAAAATACAAAATTGGAATTCAACTAAAATATAGTTAATGTAGACAGAGAAAATAAATTAAAAAGAAATAATTTTTTCATCAATTGATTAATATAACTTCAAATCTTGTTTTTTGTATACTTTTCGTTTACATTTTAGGTTGATTGATCTGTACAGTATTAAACTTGATAAAATACATTTCAACTTAGTGCAATTGCTCTTTAATTTAAACATGATTTATTTTTATTTTTAATTCAATGAATTTGTACTTTATTTCTATCCTTAAAAATAATTATCTTCTTGTTACAATATAATTTTTCTTCAATAAAACTAAAACTTGTATGAAATTATATATTTAGAATCGCTTGTTAACGAATTATGTTTATAATATTTAATATTTAATAAAAATAATGCTTTTTAAAATAATAGAGAAATTTGTTTGTACGTTGAAAATTCTTTCCTTATCCTTTCCTTATAAAGAATTTAGGAAAGAATATGAAATTAGTGGTATATATTACTCATATTACATTTTAGTTTCTATTCTGTCTAGATATTAAATTTAGGAATATAGTTTTTAAGACAAAGAAAGTTAATTTCGACAAATTCAAATACATTATATAGACTTAATTAATAAATAAAGTATAAAAAATAGTGCTAATAAAAATATAACTATAATTTCTTAATGATTATAAAAAGCTCCGCACATTACTATTACAGTGTCCAAATTCACTGAGAGCTTCAGGTTACCTTGCTATCTTCTTTTTTTCATGCTTATCAATTACATTAAGTTACATATTAGGTATCACCAACTTTAATTTTTGTATTAATGTAATGCTGTATTCTAGTTTATCTGTAAATACATATTAAGTGAAATTATAACTATGTAATTAATTTATCTTAAATCTAAATATATACTAATGCATTATACTTTATATAATCGTATATATACTAATATATTTATATTATTATATACTATTAGAGTGTAGTGTGTAGTAGTATATAATATTTGAAACTTTTAAATTTATAAACTGTATTTTATAATTGATTAAATATAATATTAAATTGTACAGTTAAAATATGTATTTATTTACAAAATTTTGAACATGAAAATCATCAATTAGTATTTTTAAAATATAAAGTAATTAAAACTAAAATTGTATATGGATTCTCCCTGGATATACCTTGGAAGAGGGTGGGTGGCAGAAAAACCGGACAATTAAAAAAAAGAAAAATGAGAGAAAAAATTGAAAGCTTATAAAAGTGACGTAAAAACAGAAAAGGATTTCGTACAAAGTATGTGTAAAAAAAAATAATTTGTGCATACTCAAACGAGAGGAACCGAGCAAACAAGTCAGCAGTATTAGCGAGACCACCCAGCGTGGTCGCACGTACGGGAACACTACGAAAGAAAAAGAATCTACGATAGAATACGTATGGATATAAGAAGATCGTGAAGAAGATTCTTACGGGAAGGAGGAGAGAAAGTGATCACGTAAGCGTGCTATTCTTTTTTCAACCCACAGCACCAGTGGAATGCTCCTTGGACCATTAATACATAAACTTCATTATGCATCGCATTTACAGATTCGACTAAATCAGAGATCGATTGATCTATCAATTTTTACATTCATTTAACTCAACCTCTTCTTCAGTTATGAAACTGTAATCATAAATATAAATGAAAAATAAAAATTATTCTTCTGCAACACATTTTCCCTTCTTTTTTTTTATAATTCTGTTTATTCTGCAAAAAAAATCATTATTTTTTTAAACTTAAATTCTTTTTTATTTTCAGATGATAAATGAGCTTTTTAAAGATTTTTTTAATATATAGAACTAAAAATAATATTTATAACTTAAAAGAAATTCATTCTATTTTATTTTCAAAAGAGTTAATATTTAAAATTTAAAAAATATTTTAATCAATATAAAATATTTAGATCTTTTTATTAACAGATCATTTTTAAAAGACATTTATAATAATTTTTCTTATTTTCAATTTTTATACATATGATTGTATAATTTTATTTGAACAAAATAATAAATCGCGACGTCAAATTAATATTACGATTAATAATTAAAAATTATTGGTACAGTTAAAACTTTTTTTTAAGCCAAGGTCAGTATATATACTAACATATCGACTGACTCGTATGACTAATATATATACTAATCTTGTTTTGAAAAAAGTTTTAGACTGTATTAATAATTTTGAATTATTAATTGTAATATTAATTCGATGTCAAACAATGATGATTTACTAAAGTTTTTTTATACTTTACATTTTTATTAATTTGTAAAATGTTGCTATTCATATATCTATTTAGTAATATAAATATTGTCTATTTGGCTATTT